TCCTGCAGCAACTAGGTGCTGGAGATGCCTTCCCCTGGTCCTGCAGCAACCAGGTGCTGGAGGTGCATTCCCCTGGTCCTGCTGGAGGTGCCTCCCCCTGGTCCTGCTGGAGGTGCCTCCCCCTGGTCCTGCTGGAGGTGCCTCCCCCTGGTCCTGTTGGAGGTGCCTCCCCCTTGTCCTGCTGGAGGTGCCTCCCCCTGGTCCTGCTGGAGGTGCCTCCCCCTGGTCCTGCTGGAGGTGCCTCCCCCTGGTCCTGCTGGAGGTGCCTCCCCCTGGTCCTGTTGGAGGTGCCTCCCCCTTGTCCTGCTGGAGGTGCCTCCCCCTGGTCCTGCTGGAGATGCCTTTCCCTGGTCCTGCAGCACTTTCACAGAGACAATAAAACAAGAAATAACTCCCCATGTACCTCACAACTTTTTCTCGTTCTCCACTGTGTATAAGGACAATAAATATAACGTAAGAACTAAGTATTACTTCAGGCGTGCTGGAATATTCGTGTGGGGGGGATATGAAGTATTACGAAGAGAGGTCGAGAATATTCGTGTAAGGGACCAGAGAATTAAAATTAGTCAAATTTATTATGAATCCGTATTAAACAAGATGCAAAGCCTTAATTCAGTTATATAATACGAGAGATTACTGGGCTGAACACATAAAACAAAGGCCCCGGGTGCTAAGTTGCAAGACTTGAAACAAAATTAGCTGTGTTCATCTTCCCCAGATACTGTCTTTTGGAGACGCGTGGTGACGTGTCATCACCCTGGGATGCGCTGGTAGGTGGCGATCTGCTGGTGTTTTTAAATAGGGTTGTAAAATGTTACCGGGGTAGACCAGTGGATGCTTAACCATTGCTCGGGTCATTATCTGATTTACGGCTCGTCTCAGAAGATGCTGTGCTGGCTTCCTGATGAACTACGCTCCATCACCACCAACAACACTAACCAACAGTGCGTTACAGAACTCTACCGCTACGTAACAAAACTCCCACACCTACCCACTACAAAACTTTACGTAACGAAACTCCATCACTGAGCTTTTAAAACCCTCCACCGCTGCATTATAAAACTCTACCACTTCGGTTCAAAGCACCGCCACTTTGTTACTAAAACTCCACCAGTACGCAACAAAACTCTCCATCATTGTCTGAAACAACAATGTTTGCTTCCTTTATCTGCCCGGCAAATTTCTACAGTTGTATCTGACTGAGATTGAGGCTAATTCTCTCTAGCGTGAGAATTATCTGCCGTCACACACAAATACTTTTCTCACCCTGCACCGATGCTCTGAAATTTGTCAACAGATCATTAAATGCTCTTCCGAAAGATTTACTAGTAGCTGACCATACACAGACCGAATTACGTCCACGTACCCCAGTAATACAAGTAATGCATTTCTGGACACGTTCAGAATAAATACAACAACCTGAGTCCAAATATGTGATTTCAGATCGGTGAGTACAAATCGATGAGCATTTGTACACTCACAATACTTTCAGCAATTATTCAGGTTAGAATTACTCTGTAAAAATCACAGAAGCAATGTATCATCATTACGGCCTTCCAAGGACAATATATTAGGTGCCTGATGCATGTTGCAAGATCATATATTGCAAACACTGTGCAGAGAAATTGCGGCAAGTTGAAATTGCCAACTCAGTGTTAAAATGGTGCTTCCTCGGGGAAGCATACTGGGTTACTGTTAAAATACGCGAATTTCGGCTACAGTGTTTGTTTTGTCTGGAGGTGGATTTGTCCAGTTGTGTCTCCATCCACAACACTGTTATTGTGTGTGTGTGTGTGTGTGGTGTGTGTGTGTGTGTGTGTGTGTGTGTGTGTGTGTGTGTGTGTGTGTGTGTGTGTCTGTGTGTGTGTGTGTGTGTGTGTGTGTGTGGGTGTGTGTATGTGTGTGTGTGTGTGTTTACCCACATATATGTGGTTGCAGGGGTCGAGTGTGTGTATGTTTTAAACTACACTCCCCAGCATTATTGTCCTCTTGCCTCTCTGGCATTATCGTACCTGCTCGTGAAACTGTGTATGGTGTTTGCCTCCACTGTTGGGAAGATATCTTAAATAACATAGATCCAAACCAGTGCCTTAAAAGGATCAACTTCCTGGCAGCTGAAGCATGTTCTAGGCATATTCCCCTATGAAAGAAGAAGAGCAGGAGTAAAGTGGAGAAAGACGCTCCCTCTACAGAAGACGACGAAGAGTCACTGAGCTCCTCAGGAGTGCTAGAATATCTGATACACGGAAGGAGGCGCTGACCAGGGAAGTGGAAACTATCGAACCAGAGGAGACAGGAGGAGCTTAAAGATATTAGCGATATTGAAAGAAATTTGAAATATTTCTTTTCATATGCCAAAAACAAGGCAAATACCACATCTAGTATCGGGCCCTTACTCAGACAGGATGGGACTTACACAGATGACAACAAGGAAATGAGTGAAATATTGAAATCCCAGTACGACTCTGTGCTTAGTGAGCCACTAATCAGTCTGAGGATCGACGACCCAAATGATTTCTTCATGAATGTATGACAGATTTCCGACATTACCCTAACTCCGATAGACTTCGAAAAAGCCATTGACAGCATGCCCATGCACTCAGCCCCGGGCCCAGACTCGTGGAACTCTGTTTTCATTAAGAACTGCAAGAAACCCTCTCACCTGCCCTAAATACACTATGGAGGAGGAGCTTGGACATGGGTGAAATTCCACAGTCACTTAAAACAACGGATATATCCCCACTCCATAAAGGTGGCAGCAAAGCATTAGCTAAGAACTATAGACCAATAGCTCAAACGTCCCACATCAGAAAAATCTTTGAAAGAGTGCTAAGAAGCAGGATTGCAAATCATCTGGATTCCCAAAATCTGCACAATCCAGGACAACATGGGTTCAGGGCAGGTCGCTCCTGCCTCTCACAACTACTGGATCACTATGACATGGCCTTGGATGCACAGGAAGAAAATCAGAATGCAGATGTAATATACACAGACTTTGCAAAAGCATTTGACAAATGCGATCATGGCGTAACAGCGCACAAAATACATGGTAAAGGAATAACTGGGAAAGTGAGGAGATGGATCTTCAACTTCCTAACAAATCGAACGCAAAGACGATTTAACTCTGTTGACCACTAGGTCAACAGAGTTAAATCGGAGGCTGCCATCGTGAAGAGCTTTGTTCCACAAGGCACAGTACTCGCCCCATCTTATTCTTCATCCTCATATCAGACATAAACAGAAATATACACCACAGCGGAAAATAATGTAAGGGACCTGGGAGTAGTAATGTCTGAGGATCTCACTTTCAAGGATCACAACAGTGCCACGATCACAAGTGCAAAGGAAATGATAGGATGGATAATGAGAACGTTCAAAACGAGAGATGCCAAGCCAATGATCCTTTTCAAATCACTTGTTCTCTCTAGGCTGGAATACTGCTGTACATTAACATCTCCATTCAAAGCAGGTGAAATCGCAGATGAGAGTGTACAGAGATCCTTTACTGCACGTATAAGTTCTGTCGAGCACCTTAACTACTGGGAACGCTTGGAAGCACTTGACTTGTACACGTTGGAACGCAGGAGGGAGAGATATATCATAATCTACACTTGGAAAATCCTGGAACGAATGGTCCCAAATCTGCACACAGAAATCACTCCCTACGAAAGTAAAAGACTGGGCAGGCGATGCAAAATACCCCCAATTAAAAGTAGGGGCGACATTATTACCATAAGTGTCCGGGGCGTATGATTGTTCAACAGCCTCCTACCAGGCATAAGGGGAATTACCAATAAACCCCTGGCTGCCTTCAAGAGAGAGCTGGACAGATACCTAAAGTCAGTACCGGATCAGCCAGGCTGTGTCTCGTACGTTGGACTGCGTGCGGCCAGCAGTAACAGCCTGGTTGATCAGGCCCTGATCCACCGGGAGGCCTGGTCGTGGACCGGGCCGTAGGGAGGGGGGTTGATCCCCGGAATAACCTCCAGGTAGACTCCAAGTAGGTAGACTAATTTTTCATTTAGCTCCTTCCACTTATTTACCACCCTGAGACTGAAGAAGTATTTCCTAACATCCCTGTGGCTCCTCTGTGTCTTTAGCTTTCATCTGTGCCTCCTCACCGCTGTGTCACCCATTTTAGTCCCCGTTCAAAACCTCTAAGTATCTTGTACGTCGTAATCATGTCTCCTCTGGTCCTTCTTCTTAAGCTCAATCCCCCTTTGATCCTGATCTAGTTTTGTTGCAAAACAATGGATCTGCTGAGTTTCCGGACAGCAGTGGTCTACAGGGTAGAACTGCATACTCCAGTTCCCTGGATCAGAACCCCCCAACACCAAGACATTACCTTTTAAAGATAATCAAGGCGAGTGCAACTTTAGTGTTACAATTACCATTAAAAATCAATCTGAACATTACTAAATTAAAATATTTTATTAACGTAACTTGGAATATTTCATTAGTGTTAATTTAAAATATCTCACAGATGTTAACTTATCTCACTATTGTTAAATAAAACTATTTTTTGGCTGACTTATTATTATATTATTATTATAACGTTTCGCCCTCCAGCGCGAAACAATGCCACAATAAAATGTCGCAATTAGTTGCACCTGTGTTCTTTTACCTAACATATTGTCGGTAATTCTACGAACGTTATTAACAGGATAAGGGTAATTTACATCACGTTTTTAGTAACGTTAAATGAGGTTAAGTCACTTCAGGAGCAAAATAAAAAAAAAAGAGCACTGTAGCTATATACAGATATATTTATTAAATGAAAAGTTGTTTTTAAGTGTCTGCTTAAGTTTCAGTCTGGTTTGTTTGACTAAAACTCACACACCAACTTAATTGCACTTATGTCCTTTCTCTTTACTTAATTGTTCACGCCAAAAGTACTCCATCGATGTTGGATTATGATAGGTCTATAGGAGCTCTGTCTCGGAGTTTAAGATCTGTAAGCTGAGTTTCTATTGGCTGGCCTCTCCCAGAGACCAGGAACATACCCAATCAGAAAGAAAAGATCTTTGAGTATGGCTAGACGGATGTAAACACGTGTGTCGGGTGCTTGTGGTAACTCGTCTACCGAGTACAACGAATATTAATTGCTTGTATACACTCTGAGGTGCATATCTTCCAATGTATTTACACTGAATGTTAACCTGAAATCATACTTGAGTTATACAGGTGTTGTTGATGATATTTCAATAGTGATTTGCAGCCTTAATTTGACCCACATAATAATAAACACAAAATTACCGTTTCAGTCGTCGGGAGAAGAAAACTTTTAGGATAACTGCGTCATGAAGACAATATGAGAGAGAGGTAAGTGTCCCTAAGATTTATTAATTTTTAAAGATGTTTTCAATGTTGTACGAGTGGGTAATGTTTGTCAATTGTAGGAAATATAACGAGAGAAGTAACTCGTCACTGAGCGAAACGTTGTTCAGTTCACTGCTAAAATTATGAGGTATTAAGTTGAGCCATAGTAATAGCCAGTCTGAGTTCCTGGCCCCGAGCCTCTTCTGGCCGCTACTGGATTTACACACTCCTGGTTGCGGTAGTCCTGTCATACCTGTTCTTTCTAATATGTTTAACAAGTGTAGGTTCAGCGTCTACCACTTCCCAGTCAACATGTCTAACCACTTGTCTAAAGATTCCGTTAATGTTGCTTTCTTGTCCATAACTGGTAAAACATCGTGTTAGTGAGGACGAGCCCACGGAGCGGAAAGGGAAGTTAGACGATATTTCGGTCACTCCGAAACGTCTTCAAATTTTCGTGTGTGTGTGTGTGTGTACAGCACACTCCAACCCCTGAGTGGACCTTCAAGCCAGTGGAAGGCCTCGGTCACATGAATATTGGCTCCGTAGAGTGGGTCACCGTATTACCTTGATGATTCAGGTATTAATCTGTTGTGGGGAGGCATCATGGGGTCGGGTCCACGCTGCTGCACTTACAGCTGCATTTCCAGGAAGAGCTTCGTAAAGAGAGACATGACAGGTTGTATTTCTCTCTTGTGATACTCATCAGCAGGGACAGGTCAGCCAGGTGCTCGGGGACCTCCAACGAGCACCTGACAACAGACGGCTGTCGTAAGGTGCTTGGGAAGAGCCCAGGTGACTGAACCAAAGGCTAGACATCTAGGAGCACCCGACAACAAGTAGCTGTCCTCAGGTACCTGTTGTCGCCTGTCCTCAGGTACCTGTTGACGCCTCCTAAGTACCTCAGGTACCCGGGAGGCGTCCATGTGACTGAACCAGCAGCTGGAGACCTACAAGCACCTGAATACAGGCAGATGTTGTAAGGCACTTGGAGAGGGCCCAAGAGACTAGAAGAAAATAATAAAAGTCTCGTTAGCGACTTACAGATTATATAAACAATGCATTTACTAACAGAAATAGTAAGAGGACACTAAAAGTATTTCCCTGAAACTGAGACAAAGATCACAATTATCAGAGTAGATACCATAGCACCAGGTTAGGGAAGCAACTCCAATTTCTAACTCGTTGCTACAGGTAATGATACTCGGAAGCCTAAGAGTGACGAGATGCTTGACAGGTATAAGAGAGATACGAAGTTCAAGGCCCCCCCCCCCCAAAAAAAAAAAAAGAAATGAAGGGAGCCTGCTCGTGTGAAACATTTGTCTTAATAAGTGACCAGTGGACGCGTATCTACAACAGTCAGCCTAAGCTACTGGCTGGGTAAATACTTCAAGGAAAAGATTTTACGGTTAGAGCCAATTATAAGGCAAACATGACGTGAAAGCAGTGACTGGGATGGACGAGTAAGACACATTGTCGAGAGTACAAATGCCCACCTGTTCCACACCTGTCTCATTATTCTACTTGCCACTACAAAACAAATGGGGTTCATTTATTTGGTGCTTGGGTTGCAGAGTTCAGCAGTTCTATCAGCCTTTAACCTGATATAAAATAGAATTATGGGTGCATAAGGCTTGAGAGAAAGATGTTAAACAATTGCAGGAGAATACGAGTCAACAAATCTGACAAAGACAAGGTCATATAAGAGCATTAGGACAAGTGACCCACTACACCTAATGCAGCCCGTCTCCATTCTTGTGTTCGGATCTTCTTGCGTCAAAGTTGGCAAGGTTAAAGGCCTATCAACCGCACAAGGGATATTTACATCACTTCTACTATATACACAATCAGAATAATATAATCAAACATAAATTAGAATAAAAACGAAGTATGGACAGAGAGGGATACGCACACCTCATCATATATACACTACTCAGTATCTACACACTCACGGATATACACAGTTAGGTGGAAACACATTACCTGGTGAATATACACCAAGCGATATACTCGGAGCACTTATGCTTAGGAATATATACTATATACACACACAGTTAAGATCTGTCTGCGATATATATATATATATATATATATATATATATATATATATATATATATATATATATATATATATATATATATATAAAACGTCTGGATAAAAACATCAAAAGAAAATGCTTTTTTATTTATGTCCTTCCGGCTGCGTCAGAGATAATAGTGACGTCACAGGCAGAGTTGCCAAATAGGTCAGGGTCCCCAGTATTGCCAACAAAGATAAATTGATAAAACATGAAGTCAATGTTTCAACATGTCGAAAAAAAAGAACATCACAGATTCTCTCAACACCCATATTAAAACATCACCGAACATTAGTGATATTAAAATGTTTTTAGACCGAGTGTTGTTTACTAGTTGGCATGTGTGTTGGACGTTGCCAGTTTGTGTGGGTGGTCAACACGTGCTGTCATGGCCTTTTTTTTAGGGAGGGGCGGAGAAAATAATATGTTTGGCAGAGGGTGTATGCACCTACACATGGCCAGAACATGGGGTGTAACTTGATAGCCCAGCACACTACGAGATGTAAGGTTACGCAGGGCAGTAGGACTAGAGAGGGGACAGGGTTCGATACGGCGTAAGCTGGTCAGTAGCCCTATAAACCCCCAACAAGAAGACTTAGAGAGGTCTATGTACATGCAGTTATATATATATATATATATATATATATATATATATATATATATATATATATATATATATATATATATATATATATATATATATATATATTATATATATTATATATATTATGCTGAGAATTTACTTTCACTCATCTCAGAAATTAAAATTACGTGCAACCTCAATCACCCGATTGGTTAGAAACCCCATTAGCCAACCTACTCTACTCAAGTCAATGTTACTGATTTCCTTATGGTTGATTTCGTGGAACTGAGGGATTATCCAGGTGGGGTCGACTGGAGTGACCTGTGGCTGGTGATTATCCTGTGACTGGGTATATGGCTGCCAATGTGACATTTTTCAAAACATTGCACAAGCTGCCCAAATAGGGAAATTAGATCAAACGAAAATTACCCTAAATGGAAAAATAGCACATTAAAATATCTAAGTCAAAACTAGGGAATTTACAGGAGAATAAAAAAAGTAGAGTGACGTTTGAGTAGCCAATATATTCAGTTAAAGAGAGAAATAAGAAGATGAAATTATAGTCAAAAGAGAATCAAAGTTCAACCCAAAAGGTTTTAGATATACAGAATTAAGATTAGGGAGATAAGCCCACTTGAAAGTTGCTCTGGTCAGCTCACTGTCAGTGACAAAAAGTATGTACAGTCTTAAACACTTATCTCAGTTTTTATGCAGGTAGATACTAGCGAAATTCCAGAAATAAAAAATAAAATTATGTACGATCAGTCACTAGTAACATGGTTCTCACACAAATTAATTGTTCTCAGGGGTTATAAAGGAATGTAAGGAGAAAGTTAACATATCATTAGCTAGTCTTTTCAGCATATCACTACAAAATTGGTAAAGTGCTGGATAAGTGGAAAATGGCAGCAGATAGGGTGTTATCTTCGAATAATAGACTAATTAGCCTAATTTCCACTGTGGGGAATATTGATGGAATCGGTCGAGTCAAGTCGAAGCTACCTTGAAAAAGATAGACTTATCAATAATTCTCAGCACAGTTTTACAAAGGGGCGTTTCTGCCTTACGAATTTACTACTATTTTACAGTCATTTGAGTACATAGATCATGGTAATGAACAAAAAGGCACAATACTGTGATTGGAACAATACACAAGTAACCTGCATACATAGAGAGAGAGAGAGAGAGAGAGAGAGAGAGAGAGAGAGAGAGAGAGAGAGAAAGCTTATGATAATGTTTCGGTATGTCCTGGACTATTCACAAGTCACACAGAAGAGAGTTCGTGTTCATGTAGGTTTGCTAGGACGGGTCCTGACCCGGGTCTTCTCCATGCGGTGACCCGGCAGTGGCTCCCGAAGGAGTGTTTACACGTGATGTACCGTTGACAGCCCTATGGCTCTAGAGGCACCGTGAGCATTTGTCAAGTGTAGTACTGGTAGGTAAGACACATAGGCAACAGTTAGGCAACTTTATTCCGAAACGTTTCGCCTACACAATAGGCGAAATAAAGTTGCCTAACTGTTGCCTATGTGTCTTACCTACCAATCTGTCGGTATTGTATACCATTTTGATGTTCAAGTGTAGTACTGTTTACAGCCCTCTGGCGGGGACAGCCCTATGACAAAAGCACGGTGACTCAACTCCAACCCTGGCACTCAGTTCGCAGCCCAAGTGCCAGAACGACTCAGATTCTCTGGAGGTGTGTTGAACACCTAGTTATCACTGTTGCAGAAGAGAGTGAGCCAGTATATATATAGGCGAGGAGAACAGGGACGGCAGAAAGAGAGGAGGAAAAAGCAGCAGTGATGTTAATGCTGGTAGTGCAAGCAGTAGTTGTAGTAGAAAGTAGGGCAAGTAGTTTATGCCACAAGAGATAGAAAGGGGAGTGAAGGGGGGCAATAGTAGCAGTAATAATAGAAAAGGTAGAAGCAGAAGCGGTAATAGTTAAGAAGTTGATGAACTAGACACGTGTATTACTAGTAAAAGTTGGATAAGTCTAAAGACAAGAAAAGGAGCACTGCAGGAGAGCTAAGGGCCCTTAAAGGGTAGGACCAAGAACACAAGGTAAGGGGGGAACTGAAGGAGAGAACACAGTAGGCAGAAGAAAAGAAAAAGAAATGAAAAAAAGGAGAGGAGGAGAGGTAGGGGGAGAAGAAAGGATCATGTTAAGTAAAAAGACACAAGTGCAACTAATGTGAAAATTTATTGTGGCAACGTTTCGCTTTCCAGGAGCTTTGTCAAGCCGTAATGTCAAGTCACGGGTGTTCTGAAGTTTGGAGCAAAGGAGAAAGGAAGGCATTGCGGAGACAAAGCCAGGACTAAGATTCATACAAGGAAAGTTG